TTCTATTTTTATTGGCTGGCCAATCAATGGGGGCCCCACTATCTTCCCCTGCACCTTCCTTTCTTTTCCCTCTAATGTCACTTGACTAGGGCATCAACCATAGTCATCTGCATGAAATATCTTTGCTTGTTTAAGAATTACTAGATAAAAAATATTAGAATGTCTAATTATTAAAACATAAAAGAAGTCTCACATTTAAAAATTAAAAGATAGATTATAAATATTTAAACTTAGAAAGTATCTAATCAAATGGTTAAAACTATTTTGATGGAGCATAATATCTTTAAGCATACTTAATATAAAAAATCTAATATGATATCAAAAGTCATTCAATCAAGAACAAAAAAAATAGAAGAAAAAAAGAATGAAAGATGGAAAAAAGAGATTAAAAGAAGAAGAAGAAGAATGAGGAAAAAAAAGTAGTAGAAAGAATATTAAAATATAAAAGAACTCCCACATTTAAAAATTAGAATATAAATTATAGATATTTAAACTTACAAAATATCTAACTAAATGACTAAAACTATTTTAGTGAAGTGTGCTATCTTTAAATATATTTAATATAAAAAATTTAATATGATATCAAAAGCCATTGATCAAAAACAAAAAAAATAGAGAAAAAAAGAATGAAAGAAAGAAAAACAAAAAAAAAAGAGAGAGAGATTAAAAGAAGGAGGAAAAGGAGAAGAAATTAAATACACCTGTCTTTGAGAATAAAAAAAGTACAAGCTCTAAGAAGAAGAAAAAAAAGAAGAAAAATAAAAAAAATAATAAAAAAAATATTAAAATATAAAAAAAGTCCTGCATGTAATACTAAAAGATAAATAATAAATATTTAAGTTTAGAAAGTATCTAATTACATAATTTAAGTTATTTTGGTGGGTTATAATATTATTAAACATTTTTAATATAAAAAATCTAACACTAACCACAGGAAAATAATGTAAACAAAAATTAAGGAATCCAGCAATGCAGGCGGTCCCTCGCTCATAAATCACGACAGGTTTGCTAGTGTTGAGAGGGAGGATGGGGCAGGGTGATTTGCCTCGTGGACACGACGATGAATGAAAGGTTACGCGAGCCAGGTACTGAGGTACAGAGAGAAACGTCATGGTTCGAGTGTCGTTGTAACGGGACGGTGATTGTTTTGTGCGATCCAATATGAAGTGTGGAACGTCATAGAAACGGAACGGCGTTATGGTTATCATCATGATCCCTTATTCCGGGCTCTGAACTTCAGGTTCCTTTCTTTTTTGGCCATTACCTTATCATTTGGCAACTAATTTTCCAACGTGATCGATGCAAAGCCCTGGGGCCCTCGCCATTTCGAAGCAGCCTAGGGATGGCCTGGCCGATTTTGGTGGTTTATAACTATATTTTATTTTATTTTTATGTTAAGCTCTTCCGTTATCCTTTTACTTAATTCCTTCTAATTCACTTTCGCGGTAGCTGAATTATCCACTGCACGAGCCTATATATTTCTCGATGAAGCATTTATTTAATGAAAACTATTTTTTTTTATCATCGTCGTTGTTCCTAAATTATCACTCGTCCTTTTAAGAAACATAAACTTGCATGTATTTTTTTTAAAAAAAACGTTAACAAGTACTGTCAATATTTTTAAATAGATATTAACATGAGTTGGAAATTGATTGCATATCCCAACTACCAAATATACAAAATTACCGGATGGAGAGAGTGTTGAAGAAGGAAACAAGAAAGGAACTATTTTTAATCATTAGGATTTCCTAGCCCACATGTTCGTGATTGGTGCCGCAAATCCAATCAATTACATTTACACGCACCAATAGCAAGATTCACTCTCTTACTATAGGATTTACAACATTACAGCATGATTATAGATGCCAATAAAATAAGTTCATAATTAGCGGGTGTGCGCCGTCGGTCCAACTTGCCAGCCCTTGTCGTTTAGTTGTGGCACACTTCAAGATTTATGAGCTAAGCATGCGTGTATTGGCCATTTGCCTGTATGCTAGGAGTTACATACTAAAAAATATAAATTTTTTTTAATATTTTAAAATATAATTATTATTTTTTTAAGCATTCCTATTAATAATAACTTTATATTTAATATAAAATATTTAATAAGAATAAATATAAAAAAATAAAATTAATTTAAAAATAAGTAACTACTTTATTAAGAGGTGAGATTTGATTAAAAATACTATATATTTTTATACGGAGTGAGTATATTTGAGTAAAATTCAATGACAAGAGAATTTTGCTTTTGTTTTTTTTTTTTCTAATGGATCGGAATTGATTAATGTGAAGTGTGACGCGTGCAAATCTTGCACGCATATTTATCATTTCGTTTTCAAAATCTTGATTTCCCATGTTTCACACTCTCCTTTCAAATTTAGCACATTGTCGTTTGCCTCGCATTAGATACCGCGTTCTTCTTGACGCGATGACGCTAGCTGCTTGCGAGCCATTCTAAACAATTTTTCTTTTGGTTACTATACATTAATTATATTCAGAATATGAAGGCATTGCCTTTTCGTTAATCATTTACACTTAACTACGAGTTGACGTCAGGTGATTATTTCACTCTGAACCAGTGGTTGATACATAAAAATATATATAAAAAAAATATTTGAGTGCATTCGTACATCTTTTTGTCTTGGACCAAGAAGTGACTTGTCTTTGTTCTGTTTCGTAGAGCAACGATAAAATTCAATTCTCTGGCCCATCGAGCATTAAATCATTCGGCCTTTTTAAGCAGTTTAGAATTCTCATCGCACAGGCATGTCCGGGCTAGCTTCTGGTTGGGCCGATATTGGTCATGTTACCTTCTGGTTGAGAAGCTAGGCACCGAAAGATTTCAGGGCAACACTCGCCAAGGGAGTTGTTATTGTTGCTGCTGTTATTTATGAGAAGAAAAGGCAATAAAATTAAAATGTTCGAGTGAGGGGTTAAATTTGTTATGTTCTCTTTCTTTTTTCTTGCATTTTTTTCACTGTTTGAAAACCCAAACCAACTCGACCAGGTTCCAATTAATTGAAAAAATTGGCCACACGTGAATTCCAGCCCAATCAAGCCGGCTTTAATTTGGTGGGTTAATTGATTAACACGTTAGATTTTTATCATCATCATCTTCTTCTTCTTCATCTTCACTATTGTAGTTTATTACTGTAAACAATTTATGATTGTTATTTGTACGAGACGTATAAAATTTTTTACATTAATTTTTTATTTACTTAAAAATTAATAACTTTTTTTTTGAAAATATTATTGTCTTTCATAGTCAAATATAAATATTTGTGTATTTTGATTATTATTTTAACCACAACTGACCTAACTCTAAGTTGACTCTTGATCGAACCACTTGCCCTTAAATTATTGTCTCAACTGGTTCAATTACTGGCCCTAATTTTTAGTATTTTGATTTTCATGATATTTTTGGACAAAATAAATTATATGATTTGATATTACATTTAAAATAACACTCGCATTTGGGGAGGGGGATTCCAATGTCTTAACTTAAAATAGTTTTTTTTTTCAATTGAATAAATTGACAATGTGTAATTACTTATAATTAAAACTAACAATTTATCGAGGGTTAATTTGTAAAAATATTTAAAAATTTGTTCTCTAAAAGTTTATGATTCCGTTTGGTTATTATAAAAGAATTGAATGAAATGTATCAAAAAATAAAAATAAAAATAAATTAAATTATTTTTTTCTCTTATGATAAATATGATAAAACTCATTAATGTATACTATAAATATGAGAATTGTTATACTTCTGAAAATTTTATGAATTATAATTCTTAACTCAATAAACTAATTATTCCTCTCTCTTATAATGTGATTCACATATTTTTTTTTGGTCATCTTATTTTTATCTTTAGTTTTTAATTCATTTATTTAAATTCTTTCTAGTAATCAAACGAGATCATGGGCTATTTTAAATGATTGAAAAATATTAACTTCTTTTATAAAGTTAATAAGTACTTGTATATCGTTTTTTGTTTGAGAACACCAAAAATTATTGAGAAAAAAATCTGAATATTTTGGCACCTTGACCTATTTATCAATCAGCAAGTGAAATACATTAACAGGCATAAAATGGCTCAACATGAAATGCTACTAGCACTTTAACTTACACAAGAACGTTTGTCCTTTGATAGTAGGATTTGTTATTCGAATAATGTTTTTTAAACGCCAAGTTAAGAATACTGTATGTTTCAAAAATAGTTTACTATCAGTAGAAGAGACTAGTCACAACATGACATATCAAATTTAAATTTTTGTTAGGAGAAGTAACTATATTTAAATTGATTTTTGAAATAAAATTATCTTTCACAGATAATTATGAATAATAGAAAAAAATGGATTCAAGCATTTCTTTCTTTCTTTTTTAAGGAGTGCTGACACCGTACCCTTGACAAGTTGGGCAATTTTTCCTGAAAAAATTTTCAAGAGCGAAATCATCCTCTTTGTCAGAAGCCTATCGTCTTATCAATTATCAATTGATATAAAATAATTATGGGGCATACATACAATAATAATAAAATATTTTAATTCATTTTATTGCTAAAATTAGGTTCAGTTACTGCCATTGTTACTTCCAGCTTCTTTGACCTATATAAGATAATAAAAATAAAGATTAAAATATATTTTTAATCCTTAATTTTATATAAATTTTATTTTGATCTTAATTTTTTAAAAAGTATATTTTTAATTATTTAATTTTAACATTGTTAGTTTTATCATAAAAAAATTTACATTAAACTTTTAAATATGAATAAAATATTTTTAAATAGTAATTTGTTAATTTTTTTAAAATAATAACGACGGATACAAAATTTAAAATTTCTTGTTGTTGTCACAGCTATTTTACGTAAGGAAATAATAAAAAATAATAACAGGTCTCCAACGACCAGGTAACTTGTGTCTTGAAAGGAATTATTTGGAAGGATATTATACTAATATTTACCAAGGTTAAAAAGTGAAAACCCCCGAACGCGGAAATGAGGCAATTATGAAGAATTAAGGGGTTCGGTCGCCCGCGAAAGAAAACAGACTGTAACAAGCAAGGGGCCGAAGCTGTTAGCTCCAATGGCGGCCTCTATGGCGGCATCACGATTATCCCATTTCTCCTATCATGCTAGACAGCAATCTTCGCCGTCCGATATCCCTCCGTTAACCACCTTCAAACCGTCCAATTCTCATCCAAAACGCTTCCGGAGCCTTTCCACCCGGGCTTTACTTCAGGGGGAAAACGAACTGAACAAGAACCCCAAAGCTCTTGATTTGCGAAGCGCCGATGACTTCCCAGGTGACGTCGTCTCCAAAGACATGCTCGCCCTGCCGCGTATGAATTTCATCATCTCTTCGTCACCCTCTTCTTTGTTTTTTTCTATTCATATTTTTGCCGTGGCAATTCGATTTGGGGTTGTGAAATGTGATCTGTTTCAGGGCCATTGTCTTCCGCTCAGTTTTCTGGTTCAGTTTCTGATAGATCTCGCCTTCGTGTGGGATACCAGGTAATAGCACCAATATATTGGGGAAATACGCATTTGTAACTTTTTCTTGCATTTGCCTCCGACCATCTGAAGTTCTATTTCGTTAGTAATTTTTTTTTTATTTTCTATTCCTGCACTTGCAATTTCAGGGAGTTCGTGGCGCTTACAGCGAGTCAGCCGCACAGAAAGCCTACCCAAATTGTGAAGCAGTGCCTTGTGATGAATTTGACACCGCTTTTGAAGTAAGATGTTAACCGTTTGCCCTCTATAATCATATTGTCTGTGCTGTTTGATTAAATTTTTTCCACTCTTAAGTCTCAGTGATGTTATCGGTGGTATTAATTCTGCGTCTTCCTGTGTTATCCTCCAATGATGTCCAAAATTAGTGAAATATTTTTATCGTTCTACTTATTGGCATGCATCATTGCTTTTGTTTTAGCATTATATGTGGCCAGACCTGTAGTCGAAGGTCACATAGTTCATATCACACAAGGCCATGTAATTCCTAATTTCCTATTGTGCTCACTGACTGCCATTATTTCGTTTGTTTGATTGCAGCTGAGTCTATAATAGGATGTTACGCTTGTAGGATTTTTGAAAACCATATACGGTGCCTATAATCTATTATATTTTCATGCCCTTGGTAACTTAATTCTTTGTAACGGCTCTATTTATTGAAACAAAGTCATGAAAACTAGTTACTGCGGGAGATAACTTAGTTACAGGTACTGACTTACTGCCATCACTTGTTTTCTTTACTGAAGAATGTTATTTTTTGTCGAACTTTGCTTAAGAGTTTTATAAGTCACAGGTTACATGTGCTTCTCACCAGAGTAGGGTCTCAAGGATCACAAATAGTGAGCTGAGTTTGTAATAGGATGTTATGCTTGTGGGATTGTTGAAAACCCTATGCTGTGCCTATGATTTATTATACTTTATGTCTTAGTAGCTTAATTCTGTCTAGTGGCTCAATTTCTTGAAAGAAAGTCATGAACATTAGTCCATAGTTTCTTATTATTGTTTGCCTATCTATTTATGCAGATGGTTTCCAAGGGCTTCTTTTTAACTGTTAATTCTCCCTCTTTCTCTCTGATTCTGCTTTACAGGCTGTTGAAAGGTGGCTTGTGGACAGAGCAGTTTTACCAATTGAGAATTCTTTAGGAGGGAGCATTCACAGAAATTATGACCTATTACTCCGTCACAGGTTGCATATAGTGGGAGAAGTAAAATATGCAGTCCGCCATTGTCTGTTGACCAATCATGGTGTTAAAATTGAGGATTTGAAGCGGGTACTTAGCCATCCACAGGTGTGCCTATAACATTTTCGGGAAAGTATAATTTTGGGTCTTTGCATTTTGCTGTAGGTCCTTGCATTATTTTCGGTGTTCTAAATCTCTATACTTTTATTTTTGGGTGTTCTAAGTCAAGGAACCTAAGGTTATGTTTCCCAACATTTTTTTAGCTTAACTTCTGTCACTTCCAATCCCAAACTCATAGACGATCATTTTTTAGGCTCTTGCTCAGTGTGAGGATACATTGACTAGTTTGGGATTGGTCAGAGAAGCAGTAGATGACACAGCTGGTGCTGCAAAGGTAAGCCTAGATTTATTAAAATGCTGTACTTGACATCACTTCAGATGCTTCTGCTGACCAATATTAACAATTGATGTTTTTGGGGTACAAAAATGATAATGTTGTAATAACATTACTCACTTTTTCTGGGTAAGTTATATTATCCACCATCATATTTCTGAGCATATTATGAATTTGACTGCTTTAGAATACTAATTTCTGGGTAATGCTTTCCCAAGTTGTGTTGTATTCTGAAATTAGACTTTTTCCTTTTGATAAAAAGGACTGGAATTCTATTTTAAATGATACCGTCAACACTTGTTAATCAATATCACTTACCCTAATATATTTACAAATTTTAGCATGTTGCTTTCCACAAACTACGAGATGCAGGAGCAGTTGCTAGTTCTGCCGCTGCTGAGATCTATGACTTGAATATACTTGCTCAAGATATTCAGGTTTGTAACCAAGGCGCTCAGTCTTTTGATTCATGCAATTTAAAGTTCATGTTCAAGGTGGATATGGTCATTCATGGTCATGGATTTGTTTTGGCAGGATGATAGTGATAATATCACACGTTTTTTAATGTTAGCACGAGAACCTATTATTCCAGGCACAGATAGGCAATTTAAGGTAAGCTTGGATGGAAGCAGAAGTTGATATTATTGTATCAAGTTCGTCAGATGCTGTACTAAAAAATTAGTGTTGATTGTGGTGTGTTGTTATCAGACAAGCATAGTTTTTTCTTTAGAGGAGGGTCCTGGGGTACTTTTCAAGGCACTTGCTGTTTTTGCGCTGCGACAAATCAACCTCACAAAGGTATGTTGCCCTTTTGATGGCAGTTGTGACACACACACACACACACAGTGGTGGAATCTTTGCTTTAGACACTTTTTAATTGTGTTATGGGTTTGTTTCTAAACAGATAGAAAGTCGGCCATTGAGGAACCAACCTTTACGAGCATCATCTGACGATAACTATAGTGGGCCCAAGTATTGTTACTGAAGCCATATCTTCAATTTCCCCCCTAAGAGCACCAATATGTGCATCTGTTTTAACTTGATCTTTTTTTTGCCCAGAACTTGATCAGATTAATCATTTGTAGCATTGTATCTTCTAAAATATTTTGCTGGTAAGGAGTATTTTATTGTGCTGATTAATCATATGTGTGTGTTAATCAGGTACTTCGATTATCTTTTCTATGTGGATTTCGAAGCATCAATGGCTGATCAGAATGCACAAAATGCCCTTAGGCATCTAAAGGTACAATTTGGTTTAATCTTGAGGCGTAAATAAAAGGCTTATTTGTGAATGGATACACTCTGAATCAATAACCTTTACAGGAGTTCGCTACATTCCTGCGAGTGCTTGGGAGTTATCCTGTGGACACAAGTACGGCATAAGTTGTCTCTTGAAGAGGTCAGCTGCAATTTATGAATATTTGGACACCTCGAATTTTCATATGGTATAATCGTGTCCCACATTTCTACTGTCATTCTCCTCTAGGTGTGTGCTTAGGGAAGTTTCTCTTCGTGCTAACCCCAGATTTATTCATTTTCTTTCCCCTGTAACTCTCAGCTGCGGTATTTAATACTCGCTACGTTTTATTTCCCTGAGATCGTTGTTATTTCGTCACTACCCGTCTCCCTCTAAGAAAAAACATGTATGATGTATTTGTATATGCACGATTTGTCTAATATACCCCTTTTTTTGAATCTTTAATTTCTAATGTTTATAAATAATTGATGCAGGTTTCACGATACTCATATACAGTTGTCATTATACTTGCGGTCGTGTGCGGCATGGTTCTTTCAATTGTCGATTCAATTTCCTGGATATATAGGGCTTACATCTTTACATTCTTGAATAGAGGATTGAAGTAGAAATTTAGGTTGGTTGCATACAAGTTTCGTAATGTATTGATGGGGTCTTACTTGGAACAGTTGCTTTTTACTTGCAAAAATTTCATGCTTTAGATGTTTCTTCTCTTTTCTTTTATTGGCAAAAGATAAATTTTGCCCCCTCCTCTCTGGTACATGTGCTGTTTCAATATGAGCAAGAGGACGTAACCCCATTTAAATTGCAGTTTTGTAACTAAATGTAACTCAATTATCCACTTGTTTGTGTTAATAATCTCAGATATTTGTGATTAAAATTCTAGCTGAACATTTTTTTTTTTTTTTTGCGGCCATATTTTTACGAGGCCCATTTGGTGTGACCAGCCGACAACCACAGGCTAGTATAGTATATATGTATGTACGTATTTATATATACTGATCAAAGTTTTATGGGAAACTCACGGTGAAAGACCTTTGAAGCATTTTATTTACAGAGAAGGATCAAATAATTTTAAATTCACGCTATAAGATTGAAGGATTAAAATATAATTAATTTTTAATATGAAAAGATAAAACCATCTCTGTTTTTTTAAAAAAAAAACATCTCTTCACTTTCATCAGCAATTAGGGCTCCAGCATTGATGGCTGGACACTAACACTAGAGTTTCAAATGGTGGTTCAGTGAGAGAGACAAGTTAATTTTTTAAGGTGGTCAAAATGAGATTTCAACCTAGACCTTTTTAACCACCAAAAAGATGGCTTGCCACTAGGTTAACAATTTTTGTCAATTATAGAATCGATAAATAATAATTTTATATATTTTTATCTTCATATTTTAAATTTTAAATATTTATTTGAGGTTAATTGAATTTAATTAAATATTATTTAATTTTATTAGCCAATATTTAATTTTAAAATTTTAACTAACTAAATTTTTAATTTTAAAATATAAATGATATCTTTAATATTTTTACACAATTATTCTTATATTTTATTTTATTTTTGCAGATTTTTTGAATTTAATTTGAAAGATATTGATAAAAATTATTTTAGATAGAAGAATATAGATATGTTTGAAGATCAAGTCAAGAATCATTGTAACATCCCAATTTAAATTTTAATAGTTAATTTAGGTTAATAAAAATTTTAAAAAAATATTTAGAGGTAAGCAAATTAGTAGGAGATGATTATTAAATCTAACTTAGGATATAATTCTAAATTAAAATTTAAAAAATTAATTAAAAAATAATAATAATAAAAATTAATTAAAAAATATATATTATTAAATTATTATTATTATTATTATAATAAAAAAAAGGGAAAAGGTATTTAAAAAAAAAGAAAGAAGAAGATGAAAGTTGGCTTCCTCTTTCGGCGCATGATTACCATATAATAATAAAAAAAAAAGAAAGAAAGAAGAGAGAGGAAAGAAGAAATAATAAAAAAAAATGTGGGACCCACTGAATTTTTATAAAAAACTCACCTGTTTACTTCGTTTCTTCATTCTTCCCTGTGTGCGAGCTGAGGCTGAGAGAGTGTCTAGTTTAGCCGGTGCAGGAGATCTGAGTTTTTAAGGTAAGAGTTTTTAATAAGATATTTAGGGTGTGATTTTAAACTTTTCAAGACTAAGTAAGTGTTCTAAAAAATTTTCTTAGTCATCCTTCCTCTGTGGTTTCTGATTTTATGGTGGTAGAAAATTTAGGATTTGAAAGAGGGATGAATTTATATTGAATAAATATAGTTTTTGAGGTTGTTAGTAGTATAATAAATATTCTAGAGTATAAATTTATTGATAATCTTTGAATTTGTGGCTTATGGATCAAATTCTAAACTAGATCTGAAATATATATGTTGATTTATTGAGGTTTAAATGATTATTTGGGATGAGAAATGAATTATTATGGCAATAGGATTATGATTCTAAGCTAGAGACTCAATTTTTAATTTTTGAATATTTTAGGTGCGAATTTATAAAATAAAAAAAATTTTAATAATAGAAATTAGTTTAGAAGTTGATTTTTAGATTATTAATGTTTATTGATAATTAAAAGAGGAGTCAAAAATTTTACTTAATAGTATTAACTCTAGATTTGTATTAAGATTGATATTAGAAATTATGTTATATTTTTAATTCTATTATTAAAATTATTTTATTAGTTTCAAAAATTGAAACTAATATTTATAAATAATATGTTATTTGTAGATTGTATTATTGATGAAGATTGTGGTAGGAGAGAAATTGTAAGGAATAATTTATTGAAAAAGCCATGAGGTAACCATGCTTTTAATTTATGATTAGTGTTACTTCATGTTAATTGGGTGATTATTGAGAAAATTATAAATTTTGTAATATTGTATAATTGTGTAATATTATTATGAATTTGTTTGATTATTGTGAAAGGTGTTAGGAGACTTGCTACTGTTGTTGTATTTATGTGCCACATGGTATGCCCCTATTGGAGCTCAATAGGTGGCTTATAAGGGCTCGGGCTAATCTACCTTTAGTCGGGTAATTTAGCACCGAGTGAGGGCCACGGTTCGAGGATAATGGAAGGATATAAGGATGGTTATTTGTGTGTATTGTAATATTTCTTATATTTGTTAGAATTATATTAATTTTAATTCTCACTTAGTAAGCACACACTTAACTGTTTGTACATACTATCATAAATTGGTATTGGTTACTGGGACTTTTGAGTCTCATTATGTGGTTAATAATTTTCAGGAGAAGAGTCAGAGTGACGCGTGGAGGAGTCCTAGAGGCTTAGTGGCATAGATCCACTGTCTCTTTTAGGTATTTGATTTATGATTTATAATGTGTTATATTGTCAATATTAGGGCTTTTTGTTTATTGACAATTATATGAATATATAAATGTAATCATGCCTTTCAAATTATTTCTATTTTTAGTACACTTTGGATGACTGTAATTTTAATATTTAGTTTACTTTGGATTTGTTAAAATGACATGATTATGAGGCCAAATAACTGGCTTGTTTTAAAAATTGACTAAATTATTTATTTTTCTTGTTAGGAGTATAAGGATGGACAAAGTGATTTAGTTTACTTGTTGGGAGTATAAGGATGGACAAATATGATTTAGTTTACTTGTTGGGAATATAAAGATGGACAAAGGTGATTTAGCTTAACGGCATGTGGGAGGTAAAAATTTATCTGAAATGTTATATTGTGCGAGTTGAAGCCAATTATAAAATATTTTTATATTAAAATTATTGATATAAAATGTGTTAGGTGGCTGTAACCCAACTATGGTTGAGTTAAATTATTAAAAAAAAATTGGTGTGTTACAATCATATTGTAAAAACTTTGTTTATTTTTATTTTAGGTTTTTTGGTGTGATTTTCAATTAGAATCATTGAGGGTAGTTTTGTTTTTTTAATAAATTATTAGGGTTTTTTTTATGAAGAAAGGGCACATGGCGGCATAGAAACATGGCTTTCAATTGAAACAAGAAAACACAAGACACATCATTTTTGTATTCCTTCTATTCAAAAATATAAAATATTTTTTAAAAAATTTAATATTAAAAAATATAAGATATTTTTAGTCTGTCAAGGTGTAATCATTACTTTTTTTTAAAAAAAGTATCCCAATTAATGAATGACTTTATATTTATTATATGGTATTTAATAAGGATAAATATAAAAATATAGTGTTAGTTTAAAAGTAGGCAATTATTCTACTGAGTGATAAAATTTGATTAAAAATATTTTATATTTTTTAATGGACTAAGTGCATATATATGGAATGCACATAATAGAAGGCAGATTTTTGAAGTAGAAAATTAAAGAGGGAGTTAGGGTGTGGGATTGAAAAAATGAAAAACAGCTAAGGCATGCACGCATCTTCTCCGTATAGGTGCGATGAGAGATGAAAAAATGGGTTGAGCCCACGGGTTAGCTCGTTTAACCCGCACAATTTAATTGATTTGGTTGAAGAAGTTGGCCCGTGTTTTAAAACGGGCTAAGTTGGCCCAACCCGCAAAAATATAGGGCTAAAATGAGTTAGCCCGCAGGCTAGCATATTTTTTTAAAAAATAATTTTTTATTTTTTAATTACGTTATATCTTTTTATAAATTTACAATAATGATACTATTTTTTAAATATATAATTTAAGACTTTTAAATATATTCTTTACATTTAAAATATAATGTAAATTCTTTTTATAATTTGCAAATAAAATTTTTGTTATGGTTTGTGAAGATGATTTATTAATTTTTATAGAAATATTTTGAATATATATTATTCATTAATCTTATAAGATTTATTGATTAAAATTATAAATATAAATTCACTGAGAAAAATAATATGAGTTTATATTTAAATTTTCTTTCTCAATGACAAAGATAGCACGTATAGGCAAGCAGATGATTGATAGTAAAAATTTAGCAAAATAAATTTGCTTGGTTGAATTTTATGTTTATTTCATTTATTTATAAGTTTTTTAATTTGTAATTTGCTTTAAAATATGAAATAAATATATATTTATATTATATAAATTTTAAATTATTAAAAAATTCTAAAAACTTTTTGTGGCCCAGCCCGTGGGTTCGCTAACCCGCTATCAAATGGGTTGGGTTAGATTTTTTAACCCATTTTATCTGACGAGCTGGCTTCACCCAACCTACAAAAATGCCAGCCTGTGCGAGCTAGCTGTGATGCATTTGTCTAGTGCTAGGTGTGATCACTCTTCATCCTTTTCTATTCAACAATTATGATGACTTTTTCTAGTTTTTCCTACTGGTTGTTTGATTTTTTTTTGGTGTGATCAATTATAAATTATAATTTTAAATTTTAATTAGAGTCTTTGATATTTAGAAAAAAATTCATTTTAACTTTATTTTAATTTACTTTTCTTCTCTTTTACATCTAAATTTTATGTTTTAATTGTTAGAGCAACTTTATTGCATGATTTTTGGATTATGAATTTTATCTAAAGTTTTATTTGTTATAATTGATTGATATAGTAACATAAGAGAATTTGGCCTGGCTTGAGTGATTTTTCATGCTTTGTTTCTGATGTGGTTAACTTAGAACAATTATTAGATTGTGAATTAAGTGAGATTTTAGTTAATTTATAAGTTAATTTTTTATTTAATTCTTGAATGATAATTTAAAAAAT